GCGTTTGTAGTTCTAAAAATAAAGTTAGTTTCTTTTGACAAGTGGCTCCTGAATTGTGCCTAGCCAGACTGCGGCAAAAACTTTAGTTGTAGATGGACCTTTTTTAAAATTTTTTATTTTTTATTTTTTAATTTGTATGCAGTGCTGAGGATTGAACCCAGCACCTCACACATGCTAGGCAAGCCCTCTATCATTGAGCCACAACCCCAGCCCCAGAATTCCTTTACCTTTTAAGGAAAGAATAATATTCCATTGAACATATAAACCATTGTTTGTTTGTCAGTGCACAGTTGGGATGGTTCTACCTTTGGGCTATTGTGAATAATGTTGTTATGAACATAGGTATACCAAGCTCCTGCTTTCAGGTTTTTTTTTTTTTTTTTTGTTGTTGTTGTTGTTGTTATATATTCAAAGTGGAATTACTGAATCATTTGGTAATTCTAATATTTTGAGAAGCTGCCATAACATTTTTCACAGCAGTTGCACCATTCTACATTCTTTCCAGCAATGCACAAAAGTTCCATTTTTTTCTGTATCTTTACCAATTCTTGTTATTTTCTGTTGTTTTGATAATAGATAGCCCAGTGTATATGAGAAATATCTCATTGTGATTTTTATTTGTGAAAGGGAATTTAAAGTTTCTTAGTCCAAACCTGTCATTTCACAGATGAAACTTAGATACTAGTTTACCAGAGACACTAGATAGAAGATTTTATTATTTTGTGAAACATTTTAATCATTAATGTTTATATTTGGATGTTCAGGATTGTGTGTTTTTCCCCCTGTAGTTGATCTCTTTGTGAGAAGCTGTAACTAGTCATATTTTGTGTAGAACAGAAGCATTTTTTAAAGTTTTATTAAAATGTTCAATAACAAATCAGTCTAAAGTTTGGATGTTGAATGTTTCTCCGGATTCATACGCATATGTACACTAATCCAAAATAAACACTGGAATTTATCATTTCCATAAACAGTGTTTTAAAAACTATTGTTGAATGAGTTTTGATATTTTCCCTCCAGCTTTATTTTCATAACAAATCAGTCTGAGTTTTTTTTTTCTACTTTATTTTGCTAGTTACCATTTAGATTTATGAGGTCCCAGGGTGCTGAAACTACAGTAAATTTAATGTATAATATTCTTTTAGAGTTGAATATCATGATGTAATTATCATGTGTTCAAGTAAGAAGTAATACATATTAAGATGTTTGGTTTTCAGTTTTAGTGCTTACTTTCTGTAAAATCGACATTTTATGTGTTTGCTGGCAAGTTTATACCAGGACTGGTAGATTCATTGACTGAAATACAGTGACCACTTAAAAAGGTACATAGTAGAGTATACCAGTAGGGGCTGGGAGATGAAATTAGTGCTAAACTCTGGTACTTATATATAAACTAGTATTTGAGAGGGTCTGGCATCACACCTCATATACTGACATTGTCAGCACACTTGGTTAGGAACGTTTTTCCCTTCCCATTTCAACATGTTTATTGAAAATATATATACATATATATATATATATATATCTTTTTTTAAGTTGTCAATGGACCTTTATTTAATTTATTTGTATGGTGCTGAGAATCAAACCCAGTGCCTCACACATGATAGGCAAGCGCTCTACCACTGAGCTACAACCCCAGCCCTTGAGTACTTCCTTTGTGTCTTACATTGTGCCTGACACTGGAATCAGAAATGAATAAAGTGGCTCCTACCTTTCAAGAGTTTACAGCCTAGAAGATACAGACCCATAAACAAAATTGTTAAGTACAGTGAATAGTCTTAGTAAAAAGTATAGAAATGTCATAGAGGTGGAGAATAGTGAGTTCTTGGATGTGGCAGGACCATCAAAGAAGGATTCCTTTAGATAATATCTGAGGTAAATTTTGAAGGTGGATTATGAATTTGTCCATTGAAGGATGGATGTTAAGATAGATTAACTTCTTGGGCAGGTACAGATGCAATGAAACATAATGGTATGTTCAAAAAACTCTAAACCCATAGTTTGTGTCAGGCTAAAATGTGAGCCTTGATAGATGAAAGCTGTATTTCCCTTTATTTTAAAGTATTGTATGAAAAAATCAACCTAATACGATTAATGAAATAATAGAGGCAAAGATGAAATTTGAATATTACGTCATAGATCTAGGATATACATTATATTCCTGTTTCTGAAAAGGTCTTCTTTCCCTTACTCCCTTCATTGTTGCTGCCTTCCCCAAATGTGTGTGTGTGTGCATATCTGTTCATGTTTGTATATAGCAACAGAATAATTGAAGGAGAAAGGAGTTAAGAATTAAGATCCTGTTTCTGGTGTTGGTTGTTGGTTGTCATATTCTTGCTTGGGTAAAACACTTTATCTTCCTGAGCTTTGGTCTCCTTATTTGTATAATATGTACAAACTATTATAGTCTATGCTTTTCAAAGTATTTTGGGGAGTAAGAATTCCTGAATGCCTGGAGTGCAATGGACACTCAATACGTATTTTTTTTTAATGAAATGAGAACTTGTACCAAAAGAGAATAATTAAAATAAGTCATGATAGTAGAAGTAAGCAGTGAAAGATTTATGTACAGACCATTGCTTCTCAGGATACTCTTATTATATATAATATAAAATGTGCCCAAGCAATTTGTCTTTATAAATTGTTTTACTTACCGTGTAGATTTGTGAGGTCACAGGATCTAGAAATGTAGTACCTTTATATGTAAAATATTAGGAGATTTGAACGTCATATGGTGTCATCATATGAATTAAGAATTAGTGTATATTTAAAATGTATGGGGGGAGCTGGGGTTGTGGCTCAGCTTTAGAGTGCTCACTTAGCCCGCGCAAGGCCCTGGGTTCAATCTTCATCACCTCATTAAAATAAAGGTATTGTGTCCAACTACCACTAAAAAATAATATTTTTAAAAAATGTATCTGGTTTATCATTTCCTCTTTTAATTTGGCCATGGCATAAGTTTTTGGACTTATTCTTCGGCTTACGATTTTTTTTCTTAATAATTCATTATAAATGGACTTTCTTCTCATAACCTTTACTTTTCTCAATCTGAAACTAGTATTTCTTACGATGCTTTTCCATTGCTGTATTTGCATAATGTTTACTTTAGGAGCAGAGGATTATAAAAAAATCCCTTTTAATGTCATAGGGTTACTGTAATATACTGTTAATATAATTTATTTCTTTACCTTTAGGGATCCTATTGGGCAATAGACACCAATCCGAAGGAAGATGCGCTGCCTACTCGGCCAAAGAAGAGGGCACGATCTGTAGAACGGGTAAAAATTCTTTATCATAAATTTAGTATGACAGACTGAATGTCAGATGTAAGTTTTCAAAAGTTCATTTCCAGTATAGCAAGTATAACTGTAACCAAGGTAAGATTTTATTTGTATAGTATTTTGTATTTTTCCAAGTACCTTTCATACCCATTATTTTATTTGATCTTTACTACGAGTGAGGTGAGCAGTTAAGGAATTAATTAAAAATAAATTGCAAATAATAAATTGCAAATAATCTTTCTGGTTACATGGAATTTTCCTTATTGTTCTCACAGTGCTTTTTCTTGCTAGCATCCATGTAATAGTCACTTTGTACACAAAATCTCTGCCTGTGTGTTTGTTGTTTGTAAGATAATTCTTACTTGTGAATTCAAGTTAAAATTAATTTGCAGGAATAAAAGAGAAAAGAAACTATCGTTGATATTCTTGGTTATATTTTAGTCAACCTTTTAGCTGCCATCATACATTTACTTTACCTTTTAACTTTTCCAGCACCCCCTTTTTAAATATATATATAAGTTGTAAATGAACACAATACCTCTATGTTTTTTATTTTTATGTGGTGCTGAGGATCAAACCCAGTGCCTCCCATGTTGTAGGCAAGTGATCTATTGCTGAGCCAAAATCCCAGCCAACATCTCAATAAAAACATCCTCATACTTTGCATTACTCTTCTTTAGATCCATTCCAAGTGTTTACCACTTTGTGAAGTTTTTTCTTAATTTTTTTGTGTTCTTACGAATTTTTGTAAAGTTTTCTTCTAGTATTTCTCTTACTTCATGGAAATTTTTTGTTTCTATATGTCTTTTTCATTGGACTAATGCCCTTTTAAGGGCTTTAGTAAAATAGGTGTGTGTGTGTGTGTGTGTGTGTGTGTGTGTGTGTGTGTGTGTATTTGTGTCACTGATTTTTGTGTTTTTCTCAGTTTATATTGAGTATCAGAAAGTGTTTGCAGAGAGAATAGTAAGATGAAGGAAACTGAGTAAATGTTTGATCAAATAAATCTATGCCTTTCCTTCATAAAGGAATGGCTTCTGAGTCTCAAAGGCAAGGACCTTAGACAGAGTTAATATTGTGATCATAAGAGCCCCTAAGGTACTACAGAAATGGGGCTTAGTTGGGGTAGCATGTTTGAAGCCAGCAGAGGAAATTCAGTAAGTCAATTAATTATCAATCTGTATGGAATTAAAGGTGAGAGTTCTTAGGTCATAATATTTGGCTTTACACAACCAAAGATTAAGAAGTTGAAGTTTAAAATTGGTGGTATAGTCTTCTGGTACCAGATCTGAACAGTTTCAAGACTGAGATATTGATATGCTCTGTGTGTTGTGGTTTGAGAGGAAACAAAGCTCAATTCCTACTTTCATGCCTCTGCCTTTTGAAACAGACTTACCACTTGGACTTGTTATAGAACTGTGAAGTACAAAACATTTAGCTTCTGTTGCCAGCACTCAAAGGAAAGAGAGAAAAAAAATCCTCATTTTTATTTTATTTTTTTATTTAACCCACACCATTACAAAACAACTTGGATGTATAAGTTGAAGGGTTAAGGATTTGTGGTCTTTTCTGTTATTTATCTCTTCTTCTGAAGGTTTCTGAAACTTAAATTTTTTGGAAGTGGGAATTGGTGGTTGAGTTGACAACTGTGCATTTTCTTTTTGGATATGAAGCCTGCCTTTTATTCTGTTACATTTGTTTCACAATTTTTAGAGAAATCCTTGTTTATTTCTGAGAGTTCTTTCCTCCCTTTTTTTGAAGACTCTTTATTTAAAGTTTTTTTTTTTATTCTAATTTGTTATATATGACAGCAGAATGCAGTTCAATTTATATCACACAAATAGAGCACAGGGGTTTTTTTTTGCACTACAATTCTTAATACACCTTTATACCACAATTTATCATATCTCTGATTGTATATAAAGTATATTGACACCAAATTCACATCTTCATACATGTATTTGTATAATGATGAGGGTCTCCTTCTACCATCCATGCTATTCCCCTTCTCCCTCCCACCCCTATTCCCTATCTAGAGGTAATCTTCCTCCCTTGTCTCCCTCCTAACCCCATTTTGAGTTACCCCCTTTATATCAGAGAAGATATTTGGCATTTGTTTTTTTTGGGGGGGGGGATTGGCTAACTTCATTTAGCATAATCTTCTCTAATGCTATCCGTTTCCCTGCAAATGTCATGATCTTATTCTTTTTTATTGTGGAATAATATTCCATTGTGTATAAATGCCACATTTTTTTTTTATCCGTTCATCCACTGAAGGACATCTAGATTGGCTCCACAGTTTATCTATTGAGAGCACAGTTTTTCATGTCTCTGGTTGTACATAAAGTAGAGTCACACCATTCATGTTTTCATACATGTATTAGGGTAATGATGTCTGTCTCATTCTACCATCTTTCCTATCCCCAGGCCTGCTCCCTTCCCCTTTGCTCTATCTGAAGTTCATCTCTTCCTCCCAC